CTCCCTCCCGCCTCCTCCCCTCTCCTCCATCACCACCTCCCTGCATCCATCTGCCTCCCCTCCTCCTCCTCCTCCTCCTCCCTCCTCCATTCATAAAATCCGGACGGCACTGCCATCTACCGTAGCCTGTGACGGCCACCCCGCCGCCCCCGATCGGCCCAGGGGCAGCCCCACCGCCACCCCCCGGCTGTGGGTCCCAGCCCCATAGGAACGCCAGCCCTCGTCCCGGCAGCGCTCCCAAAGGCCCCACGAGACTCCCTGCGGGGCAGAAAGGCAATTCTGTCTTTGCCCTTAATGCCAACTTGGGGGGGTCTCTCCATCCAACCCCTCATCCCAGCCTCAGGCCTGCCCCAGGCCCTCTGGGGCAGCACAGCCAAAAGCGGAGCAGTCAGCCCCACTGCTGCCGACCAAGCAGCTAGAAAGCAGGAGGGGGCAGAGACAGTAGTCTGCTACCTCTGCTGTCTGGGCTCCCAACCCTAGGAAAGCCCTCAGCTCCTGTGTTCAGGCACCTCCTTAAAACCACAACGTCGTCTCCCTGTGTGTGGAGATAAGGGAGATAAAACCGACCTTCTCTTGTAACTGAGCCATGGGCCTGAGGCTTTAAAAAAATGATGAAAGTAGACTTGCCCGTCAGGAGAAGGGTGAGTTTGCCATCAGCCATAGTCCCTGCTTGGGAAGAATCCTTCCCAGGGCCAAGCAGCTCCCTCCAGGAGAAGACACTGAGGGGCAGCCCCTTTTACCTGGTGAGAGGGCAGGCCCAGTGAGCCTTTTCCAGTTCCCCACTGGGGGGTACTGGGCTCCCACCCCCATCTGCTTACAGTGATTTATTCTACCTCCTCAGTGTGCAGTGGGGAAACCCTTGGTTGTGCCTTATTCCATATCCCTCACTATCATCCACAGGAACAAAGTCTCACACCCACCCTCCCTACATCAGGAGACCCTCCCCAGTCCCCCATGTCCTCCCTTTTCCTTCCTCCTCTCCCTTCACTAGGGAAGGTTATCCCCGGGCAGCAAAGATGGCAACCCCACACGCCAGCGGGAAGCGAGCAGCCCTGGGGCCAGACCTCTGGGCTCACGGGTGGGCAAGCAGGAGCCTCCCCCCTGGCAGCATCTCAGCTCCCACCAGCCTCTCTCTTTGTTCACCGGAGCTCCCCCTGCCAGGAGAGAAGCCCCGGGGGAGCGGGAGAAGGGGAAGGGGGTGAATTTCGGCCAGCCCAACAGGACAACCTGCAGGCGGGTCAGCGTGTGCAATGCATGTGCAGGTGGGAGACCTCGTGCTTGAAGCTGAATGGGGAGCACTGTCTGAGCATCTCTACAGGGAGCAGAGAGAGAGAGGGAGGGAGAGAGAGGGGGGGGAAAAAAAAATCTTGTGAGTGCAGCGTTTGCAAAATGAGCTGGCGGTAAATAGCTGGAGGATAGACAGCGTCTCTGTACGTGATGCACGGCACGGAGAGCTGCACCTGAGCGAGGCTGGGCCGCTGCTGGCTCCAGCATCACACGTCACTCACTGATGCATCCTCCCCAGCCTGCCTTCTCTCTGCACTGACTCCCCCGCCTCTGCCACGAAAATGCAGCGGGAAAAATGGGTTCCCCCCCGCATACACACACACCCAGTGCAGCCACAAAGCCAAGAGCCGGGAGAGACACAGCTGAATTTGATTCAAGGTCCAGCTCGTTCTGGGGGAATCCAACACCATGAACCTCCAGATTCCCTTTTCCTGCTGGGGACCCCACACCCCCCGAGCTCAGCCTCTCCCCACGCCCCTGCTCAGGCGCTTCCTTCCCCGAGCACCAGCAGCCGTGTTGCCAACCCTCCCTGCTCGCGAGTGTTGCTCTCGCTATCCGAGTCCCTTTGTTCCCCTCGCAGGGCAGCCTTCCTCTGCCTTTCGCAGCGAGAGGCTGAGGCCCAGCACAAACTCATCTCTCCCGGGGTGCCCTCCAGGCAGGAGACCACCAACCCCTCCTCCCCCCGCTGGGAAAGACCAAGCAAAAATCACACAGCACCTGGAAAACATCGCACTCTTCCCTCCGTGCCGTAGGAGAAGGAGCAGGAGCCATCCTTCCCCCGACAGAAAGGCGCACTCGGGGGGGGGTATCGGTTTTGGCAAAACCAGCCCATTATTTACAGTTTTCCGAGGCTTCCTCCCCAGGCCCACCGGGCTTGCTGGGCGCAGGAGCGTTACCGGGGTCCGGCCGCCGGTGCTCGCTGGGAAGGCCGGCACCCGCCTGACACCCTGTGGCCGCCGCCCGCATTGCAGGGACTGCGGGGAGAGCGGGAGCCAGCCCGGGATGGGGATGGGGATGGGGACGGGGACGGGGACGTGGATGGGGATGGAGATGGGGACGGGGATGGAGATGGGGATGGGAATGGGGACGGGGACGGGAATGGAAATGGGGATGGGGATAGGGAAGGGTGCGTGGGAGTGGGACTGAGTCTTAGCAGAGCAAAGCTAATAGGAGCGGGGGGAAATCACCACCGTGAGCACATTGCCTGCCCCCCGCCACCCGCCATCCAGGGGCAGAGCGCTGCACGTTTTAATAAAGCAGCACACGCCTGTCCCAGCACTTTCCATAGGTGCTCATGGATTCAGCTCAGAACGTCCAGAAGGAAAAGGGTTTCAATTTACTGTCCCAGACTCTGATAAGCACACCAGACCTCTCACTCTACGGGCAGTGTGGGACAGCAGGAGTTGCAATGATAATGCCCTAGCAGACGAGAGGCCCTTAGAACATCCATATGGATTTCAAGCCCTTCAGAGAATCCTTCCAATTGCACTGCAGGGCAATTTCCCCTGTCCTTCCAATGGCTTTGCTCACCTTCTGCCAGAAGGCTCAATTTCCACTGCCTAAAGCACAAAAGTCAGCGTCGCTGCAGGGACCATGCAGGAGTAAAACCCAGTCATCTGCACCCCAACAACACCATGGGGTGCCTGTTTGCTGCACCCACCTATGAAGGTGTGAAGGTTAGAGTGGCCCTGAAGGGTGCATGTCCAACACACGTCATGGTGCCTGTACCAAGTGTCACACACACCTGCAAGGGTCGAAACATCCCAGTAATTCCTACTGCTTGAAGCTGAAGCATGTCTGAGGCACCACCAGCAACTACAACACAGCAGAATTCCATGGAAAAGCTCCGGCAGCAGTTGGGGATGGGGCTGGCACTCACCTCTCCAGGAGGAATGGCTCCATGTGGTGCCCCAGGGGAGTTACTGACTCTCAGCATCCCCTCCTGCAGGGCCAGCTGAGGGCTGCCCTCATCCCTGGATAAGCTGCCAGGATGCTAGGGGTGGAGGGAGGTGAAGACATTTGCCAAGAGGGCTTTGAGGGACAAGCCACAGTGCAGGCAGCCCTTGCTCCAGGTGCTCACCCAGGTACCCAAGTGAAGCCCTGTAACCTTCATGGAAAATCTTGTCTCCATTTAGGAGGGGATCCTTTGGATACCCTTACTTACCTTCCTCCCTTCTCCATTTTACAAACCCCAATGGATGTGCCACCCTAACAAGGCCATGGAGAGATACCTCCAAATCCCACCAAGTGCTGAGCACAGCTGCCAGCCTGGCTCTCCTCCAGGTACCTCAGCCGTTCCAGGGGAGTTGGTGACCCCTAACCCTGCTGTACTGCCCACATCCTCCCCAGCCATCCCCAGGCCTGTGAGCCTCTGCAAGGGGGAGACACCATTTCTCATTCCCAGGCTTTCTCCTGGGTGGGAGAAAGCAGAAGCTTGTTTTTTCAGAGCTTGGGTCTGAGCTTGCTGTAGAGCTGGTTGGCAGAGGGGCAGTGGGCTTTCAGCTGCTTTCTCTGCTCCGACTTTGGTTTCTCTAATCTGGCTGCAGTTTGGAGAGATTTTGACGTGATACTCTGCCCCAGCACATCCCTCTGGCCGGAGCCCAGCGGGGAGAACCCGAGACATTCAGACGGCACATCGCAGGGGAACCATTTTAATTAAAAGCGATGCTGTGGTCAGCGGGGCACAGGCTTCTCTGGGGAGGAGGAGTGAGTGGGGTGAGTGATGTGGGGGGAAGACGGGCCTGCTCAGGGTTAGATCTGGACTCCACAACTTTGCAAGGAAAGCGGGATGCGGCAGGATGAGCTGGTGCTCACTTCCCAGCGGCCTCACCATGGGGCTGGTGCTCCTGGCAATGCTTACAGTGCCCTCAAAGCCTGGGACAAACCGGGGGACTCCCTCCCCCAAACTCAAAGCATTTGCTGCTTCCTGACACCAATCCCTCTCCCGGCAGAGAAGGAGGATGTCTGTGTGCTGCTTATGGATGTTTGGGGGCACGGGGGCCTCATGCTGCCTCTCTGTCTCTGCTAGAGAAGAAAGCTAAAAGCCCAGGAGTGCCCTGCACTGGATCGGTCATTGCAGCATGGTGGGGAGCCACCACAGCCATGGCCACCTCCCGGAGCCAGGAAGGGCCACTAGGGCTGATGTTCTACCCAGTAAGCCACAAACTGTGCCGTGCTCTCAGCTCTGGTGGCAGAGGAGATCCATCACTGCCAGAGATGTGCTAAGAAGACCAGAAACGACTTGCAAGGGGGAGTAGGGTTTGAGGAGGAATTAGGTAAGGGGATTTTCCCTCAAGTAGAAGCGCAGGATCCCAGGAACTGGGAGTCTTGAAAGAGGGCCAAGCCCTAGCATCCATCCCAAAGAGCCTCTCTCAGGCTGCCCTCCTGGCTAAAGCCTAGTCCACCCTGGATAGCTGTGATCCTCCTGCCTTCACCCAAGCTTCCCGGGATGCTCTGGTAAAAAAGCTCCCCGACACCAAGCCGCATGGCTCTGAATCACCAGGAATGTGCCTCCCTCCAAGCACCCACCAGGCCTGTTTTCTTCTCCTGAGACAGACACGGAACCAGGCCCTCCATGCCATGCCTGCCTGCAGCCGGACCCCAGCAGGAGTCAGAGGTGGAGCAGCCTCCAGCCTGGCACCCAGCAGGTGATGATGGTGAGCGGCACCACACTCCTGTCCCAGCAGGGATGTGTCCTGCCACCTCCCCACCTCGGCTACCAGCAGCTGGGCCACGTGAAACCACAACTACATTTCAGGCAGCACAGGGAGCATTTCTAGCCACCAGTCCCTGTGAAGAGAAGTATGTGCTGATGCACACCGGCGAGATGGAGGGAGTGTGGCAGGAGGATGGATGGCATGGGCTGGAGGTGGGGAAGCTACGCCACCGGTCCTCAGCCTGGTGAGACAGCAAGGAAAGGGTGGAGAGCGACTACGTGATGCTTCGCAGGGAGAACTGATCTTATTAATAAAAGCTGCTTCTTCCCAAGGCCTTGATAATCTCTCCTGCTGCAGATTATTTACAGCTGTGGAATTTAATACTCCAATGAACAAAGCTCCCCGAAGCAGACAGGGAGCAAGCGGACTGTTAACCCTTCTGCATGGCACCAGGGGCTTGCGGAGAGGGTTTGATGTCTCAATGCTGTGGAGCCACAAGCTGCCACAGCCCCACCAGATCTCAGCACCTATGTGGCCAGCACCCAAGCCAGGCTGGCACTTGGCAGAAAGTCAACCCAAAGCCCATTCAAACACCTGGGTGTGGAGAACACCACTTAATTAAGAAGACAGGCCAGGGGGTAGTGCACAGAGGCAGAGCCTGGGCTGGGGGCTGTGTTGTCAGCGAGGTGGTGCTGCGTTAACACCGCCAGGCAAGCACTTGACCTTGAAGATACCGGGCCAACAAACTCAGCCCCCAGGCTGAGAAAATTGCTACCCCCAGCTAAGTTATCCACCCCACATACTCAGTGCAAGGCGTGTGTGCAAATGAGTCAGCTAACCCTGGGGAGCCTTGCTCCAGGTCTGCAACACCGGTGGGGTTACAAACTGCAACACAGCACTCCCGCTGCCCTTCCTGGCACCAGAAAGCCCATGGTTAAAATATATGCTTTAATATGCTCTGAAATGTACTCCCGTCCTCAGCTTGACTTTCAGTGCATCTCGGGATGCACCTATCAGACTTGGCTTATTTGCCTGAACATTCCCCTAGATACAGCTGATTCAGAGGGAGAGAGAATGGGGTGGGCTTGAGGCACAGCCTGGTGAAAGCAGGGGTGAGAGGGATGTATAGGAAGGACCGGTTAATCATATGGGCCGGTTGGCCCACCAGCATCAGACCCTGGTCTGAGTGTGTGGCAAAGGAAAGGCAAACACCAGCCCTTGCTCACACGCAAAAATCCACTAACCACCTGTCCTGGTTTCAGTTCCCATAACAAAGTGACACATTGTGAAGCCGTAAATGCAGGCTGGTTTTGATCTCCACCTCTCTTAGCATGCCTGTACTTCAGACATTCCCCAAAGACCACACAAATCCTTGGTCCAGTTCCACACAGCATAGTTCAAAGGGTCACAGCAGCATCTCCTCTACTGTAAACTACATAACTATAATCCCTGGACATGATAAACAACCCCTATCCATCCCACATAGCCCACACAGGAAAAAGCAGAGCCATGGCAGAATTCGGGTGGGATCTTCTATCCTCTTAGTCAGTAAAAGCCTGGTTCCTGAAGCGCAGGAAACACAGAGCTCACACACCAACTCACGTGTCTCATGGGATGGCATCCCCTCTATTTTTCAGCAGCACCTGGCCAGGATCACCAGGAGCACCAGATCAGCCCACACCCGCCCTAAAGCTATAGTATGTGCCTCCCAGGTTACGCAGCCCCTTTGCTCTTAATTTGCAATTTCTACAGCCCCTCTCCCACCTGTGTGATGCCACCTGGCAATGATCTCTCAGGACTTTTCCCAACTTTCAACCACCCTACATAGGAGGAGCTGGAGGCTGTAGAAAGAAGTTCAACCCAGCCTCAGGTAGTCCAAAATTTGCATGGGACAGTCCATTAACTCTGCATTTCCTCATTTTTAAAAGTCTTAAGGTTTGCTCAACTTTCTGCAGAAACACAAGATACCACTTTCCAGCCACTACTCTGTATTGGCAGAGCCTTCTGCCATTGAGTTTGCCAGCAAGGAACGCAGGCTGCTGTGAGCACATCAAGTGGAGATACCAGCAGTGAAAGGAGCCCAGGGAGCAAAGGAAGGATGGATTCTGACCCACAGAACCCAATGGGTGTTTGGAGACCCTCGCTTGCAGGCAGGAGGCCAGCCTGGATCCCCTCTCCCCCTTACCCCAGCACCTGAGCTGCTGAGCCCCCA